TTAGTATAAAGACTTTTGTACTATACTATATAATATAGATTATGTAAAAGATATAAAAGTATAACTTAAGACAAAAGATAAAAAAACAATAAATTAAAAAAAGACACAAATAAGTTTATTATTATTAAAAATAATAAGTTTTTATACTACAGTAATTAATTAGATTAAGATATATTTATTTTTAACTTTTAAGTTTATAGTAAAGATTTGTTTAATATTTATTATTATGTTAATATTGAAATATAATAGAAAATTATTTGTATTTTGAGAACTGATTTTAATAGTGGATATAGAATTTATTAATACTTTAGAATATAGCTGAACTTGAATTTCTTATAAGTATTAGTCAAAAAATATTGATTGTTTCTTTAGTAGGTTTAAAAAGTATTGTTTTTTATATTAATATTGATATTTTATTAATCTTTTTGTGATATTAGCACTTTCATATATAGATTTATTTATTATTTTATATATATTATATTTAATTATTTAAATATTAACAAATTTAATTAAATTATATAAAAATCAAATATTTAATCTTTTTAATAATTATAAATTAAAAATAGATTAAATTAAAAAAAATTATATAAAGTAATATTTTTGATTTAACTTCTATAAAAATCTATAATTATAATTGATATAATAGATTTTATAATATTAATTTTTTTATTTGAGTTAATTAATTTTCTAAATAAGTTATATTTAATTAATTAATGTTTTAAATTAAATTAATAGATTTTGAAATTTAATTAAATTTCTATTATCTTATTTGATATTGATAAAATTTAAATTGATAATTTATTTATAAGAATGAAATTAAATTATAAATTAAAATAAAAATTATTGAAAAAGTTTTTCAATTATTAAATAGAATTTTTTTATTTTATATTTAAAAATAAAAAGATATAATACAAGTCTAAATACGAATTTACTTATAAAGTATTAATTGATATTTTAATAAAAACGAGACAAATGATATCAGTTAATATTTATAATAATTAATAAATTATTTGTATAATAAATATTTAATCTTTATTAATTAACAATAAATTGTATATGTATTGTATTTTAGCTTCTTAAAAAATAAAAAGTAAAAATAAAACAATAATAAAAATTTTATTTTAAATAATATACTATAAGATATAACTTTTATTAATTTATTAATTATAATTATTAATATTTTTATTCAATAGAACTATAATTTTTTAATAGTATTTTTAAATTAATTTTTAATTATTTGAATTATTTAATATTTAAATTTAAATAAATATTTATAAATATTCAATATTATATGGTTTTTATAAGCAAGTTAATATAAGAAATATTATTTTTTTTACAATATATATAAAAAAAACAATAACAATAAAATTTAATTTTTAATTTTAAAAAATATTGTAAATAGAAATTAAAAAAAACAACTATTTTTATTTTTAAATTATATATAAAAACATTTGTTTAAAATAGATATTCAAGTTTATATAATAGTTTATGCAATATAATATAATATATATTAGTTAATTTTTGTAAATATTTAATAAATATTGTGTATTTATTTGATTATAGAAAAAAAAACACTAAAAGCAATTATAATTTCAAAAATTTTTTAGTTTCAATAATAATATTATTAAAAAGTAATTGATATGTTTGATTTTTTTAAAAAACAACAATATAAAAATATTTTAAGATGTTACAAGATACTTCAATAAGTAATAATGAAATAGGAGATAGAAATAGAAATATTAGATAATTTATATTTTTTTTAAAATATTGTGTAATATAGTAAAATATTTTTTAAAAAAATATATTGCGATAAATTCAAATATTTATATAGAAGCATATTTTATAATAATATAATAAACCATTTATTATTATTATTTCAAAATTTATCATTTATTACATCAGTCACAGTATCTTTTTTAACTTTTTTTTACTTTTCAACTTCTTTTTTTCTTTTTAAAGCTTTACATGATGCGTGAAGTTTTAAATGTCAAAAAAGATGAATCACCGAAAATTTTTTTATTTCAAAAATCAGCTCAGTTCTACAATCGGCAAGAGAATTGTATACAGTATAGATATAGTATAAATATAGTATAAATAGAGGTATAAATTGTTTACAACAAAATGGTCACCGGACTTTCGATGCGGTGCCGACCGTAATGTTAATTTAAAATACAGTATGTAGATTAATGAACAGATAAACCTAGAATTAACAAATAAAAGATTATAAATAGACAGATTTTTTTTTTTTTTTTTTTTTTTTTTTTTTAATAGCCGATAGCATTTATCCGAACCGTTTGCCTAGTTTAGATGAAAAGGATGGGGACACAAGTTTCCGGAAAAAAAGCATCCGGTAAAGAGGTCACATTTGGCAGACAGATTTCCGCATTTGGTAACAGTGAGCGTATACGTTTGAACTTTCCTTTTTTTCTCAGAAAGTAAAAAAAACCCCAAAAATAGCACGTCATTCTCGATTAAGTTCATTTTTGGAAAAAGTCTGAAGACCACAGTAATCTATGAAGAAGCTCATCGTGCGAGTTGGGTGGATGTTACGCAAGCATTCCATAAATGTACGAAATTTCGACGCCCCTTGTTTTTCGTATTACAGCATTGTGTTCTATTAGATTTATTTAGTGACTTGGTGAGACCCTTCGGTCAAACAACCCATTGCTGGCGCGGCCATGAAATTTTCAGAATTATACATCTTTATTAGAACTCATGGCCTTGTCTCTTTAATCTCATGTGGCTATGTAGGTATATATATATGTATATGTGAGATTTTTTGCTTTACTCCCTTTGTCATGGATGAAACTTAAAAAAGGGCTGTGTGACACCCAAAACCGCGGCGAAACGTGGCACCAACAACTTACAAGTTTTCAACAACTGATAAGCAGTTTATATAACATAAATAAAAATAGAGAAGCTTATATTTATTTCTAAATATATACATATAAATTACTAAATTATAATTAAAATATGATTTTATTCAAGTATTAATAGTTTTTTTTTTAACTTACTAATAATTATTGATCACCCAACCATCTAATAAGCTTAACATACGCAATTAAACTACGGTATATAAAGTCCACAAATTGTCCAAAATTTTTGTTGCGTTCAGAAGTCCCCCTCCGAAAGTCCTTTCTTAGACCTATTTGCTATTTGCTATTCTGTAAATATATTTTACCTATATATAACTATATATATAGAAATATATTGTCAAAAAAAAAAAATCGCTGTTTTACCATTTTTTTCTCAAGTGTCATTCCTTGCTCCCACCGGCCTGGTGTCCCAGTTGACAGCTTGAATTAAATTTATTATTGCTTTAACATGGCCGAATACACCACCAGAAGGGCTTACACCGAAAGTAGGCAGCACTCGACCATCGCACCTACTAACCCTTACCATAAAGAAAATAATAGCAATAAGAGCAGCGAAAGTAATAGCAGCGCCAGTATTTCGATGTCTTCAAGTAACGTGGCAACGACTTGTGATCAAGAGACCTTTATTCCGCAGCTGCAGCCGCCACAGTTCAAAACCTCAAAGGGTGGTCCTCCGGTTCCAAACTTCGAATACGTCTCATACGATAAGGTTCAGGACCTATACGACCAGAACAAAGGATCCCTCTACTTCATCCCTGAAGGGTTTGAGCCAGTATTAGTTCCGAACGATGCAAAAGCTACATCGGTGACCAACTTGTTGGAAAATGCAAAGCCCGTATCAAATGCACCCAATGTTTCAAGGATGCTTCCGGATACTGATGTCCGTCTACCATCGTTTGCACTTCCATGCGGGGTTGCCGGTCCCACTCCCAAAGCCACATCTGCGAATTCAAAGACCAAGGTCAAGAAACCACCGAGACCACCGAATGCATTCATCTTGTACCGAAGAGCCAAGCAGCCAGGAATCGTGGCCAAGAATCAAGGCATCACCAATAACGAAGTTTCCAAGGAAATCGGCAGAATGTGGCACGAGGAACCCCAAGACGTTAGGCTCAAATTCCAGAAGATGGCGGATGCAGCTAAACAAGAACACATGAAGAAGTACCCAGAATACAGGTATCGCCCTAGAAGACCACAAGAAAGGAAACGTAGGATTCAACCACGTGAAGATTCACCGCCAACTCAAGGTTCCACACCAACCTTGTCATCTCAAAGTTTGCCGATGATTGATACTTCAGCTTTCTTCCCAAGGCGAATTTCAATATCAACTGACGGTGAAAATTCCGAAATCTTTACCCCAACCACCATGGTGACCTCTCACAACTCGAACATCCTTCAAAATCCTCAACATCTGTTGTACGCAAATAACTCTCTAACGAGTTCTCCACAGCAACTCGGTTATTTAGATCCCACGATGGGAAAATATGAATATGGATCATACATTGATGACCAAAATTCATATGATAACAGCCCAATATCAAATGCGACTACAACATTTGTTAACACCCCTATGACAACATCTGGTGGCATGATTGACTTCAGCGTGTTTGATGCACCCAATCAAACAGCGCCGGGAGAAGCCATGGGCTACTATGAATATGTAGACACGTACGATTCGTATGATAACATGGCACATCTCGGTTTTGATGAACAGCAATACCAACAAATCGTGAAATACGACTACTAATTTACAAATGATGATGATGACCTTGGTAAGTTGAACTTTTCGATTTTTTGGGTGGAGGGTCTAGGCATTGATTTTCCTTGAATCAAATGACCATCCATCCATCTTCTGTTATTCATTCACCCATTCATTCATTCATCATTTTTTTTTTTCAAAACAGGATATGCACCGGCATATTCAAGAATTTTTTTAACTCGTTTTTTTATTTTTCGTAAAATTATCTTTCGTTATTCTTCACAAACACAAACACAAACACAAAAAATTTCGATAAAACACATTCCCTACATTCATTTTTGCATAAACAATTTTTTTTTAAAAAAAAATTTTAAAAAAACAAAAACACAAAAAAAAAATTTACAAACAAACCATATGCTCACCAAATTCTTCAAGAAATTAAGGTACGTGTGTGAACATTTGGATAAACCTTTTCTTTTCTCACATTTCCCTGGTATATTTTTACTGATCCAAAACGTCTTCTTTCCATTTCTAGATCACATAATCAATTTGTAAAAATTCATAAGCAACATTCGCATCACACATGCATTATACTCGAATAATTACACGTATGAAATATTGTTGAATGGAAGGGGAGAAGCAAAAAGCAAAAAAATGAAAAAAAAAATATTTTTTTTTTGGTCTTACTCCCTTTATTTAAACAGAAAAAAAAAAAAAAAAAAAATGAAAATTCACAAAAACCTAAATATATATTTTTTTTTCCTTCGCAAGAAGAAAAAAAAAGAAATTTTTCTGGCTCTCTCGCGGTCTGTTTTGTCTGTTTTTCGGGGGAGTGTCATCAAGACTTCAAAGCGATTTCAGGCCTAATTGATCTTTTTTTTTGGTATTTATCCTCCCAACAGTTTTCTTTGCCCAATGAAGAGTCAACTGTTCACGACCGACCATTCGTGTAGGATATGAAACACATGATCTTTTTGCTTCTTTGACTGTTAATTTACAATAATCTAGTTCCGACATTTTACCTTCTCCCCTGGCTTAATAAAGTATCCTAGGTATTCTATGCTAAGAAATTTAATTAAAAATTCTTGTATAGTTAAATTTAATATAATAACTATCGTAATAATATCATGATATATTATATCAAAAAACAAAAAAAAAACAAAAAAAACGATTTTTCCTTTTTAAGAAAAAAAAGAGAGATATTCGGTAAGGTGCCGAAATTTTTTTTCTTTTTGTTCTTTTCACTTTAGGCATCAACGCATTGTAAATCACAAAGCACAAACACCCTTTCCACCCTTCCCCTTCACTTTTTTCATACATTTTTTCTTTTCTACCCACACTTGTAAAAATCATTATCATATTGCATTTTATTTACAATTGCATTTTTTATATACAAAATTCAAAAAAAAAAAACTAAAAAATTCAAAAAATCCAAATAACAACGCAATTAATTATTAAAAAAAAGAAAAAGAAAAGATTATAAAATCTTTTTTTTTAAAAAAAAAAGTAATTACAATTCTTTTTGCGTGATCCGAAGTGACCAAATGTTTTTTGGGGAAGACGTGAAAATGTTATTTTTTTTTTTTGCCTGCCTTCTAAATTCGGCTTATCTTGCGTCTTCTATGCAATGTAGAGTCTCGTTGAAAAAAAGTGTCTGCAGAAGTATTGCTTCGTTCATGCGTACTTCGAACCTTTTGATCTCACGGATAACCAGACATCAATTGACCAATGGGAATTCCTGACCAATTTCTCTAATATAATGGGGAATTTTAAGGTTTGAGGCGCCGGAAGTTTCCAAGAGTTAACTTTTTTTTTTGATCACTCTAAAATCCGGTTTTTTACATTTTAGGTAGGTCGCAGCAAAAAAATATGCAGTGAGTACATACCGCTTTCGGATGACAGGAAAGTTGATTTTTTAAAGTTTTTATTTTTAAGGTTTTTTGGTCTTTCACCACCGACTCGCTATTGAAAGTCCCTTGCGAGCATTATTCAAAGCGTGGTGGTGGCGTTACATGCTGATACCATCTAGAATCTCGGAAATTGGCGGTTTGGCATTTTTGGTTTCATTGTGCGGCCGCTTTATATTAATTGAGCAGATTGCGTGCCGAATGGGGAGCGTCTGTTTCCTTTTGGCACGAGTTTTTCGTGTAACCAGTGTCTATCTTTTCTGATCTTTTTTAGAGAAAAATTTTTGTTAAATGAACGTCTATCTTTGAGATCTCGATCTTCAAGGTTACCGTGATACTTTAAAAATTTTTTATTCTCCTCAATTTTTTTTCTTTTTTTTCTTTATTGCAAATTATGTACAAAATTGTATATAGAATAATGGGACTTGACAGTTAGGTGATCGATTCTTTGTATATTTTCTCGGAGTTTTCTTTATCCATCTATTATATCTGCCAATGAGTAAAGGGTGTGGGTAAAAGGATTGTTTGGTTTTTGCGGATTGGCTACCCTCCGTTTTTCTTTGAAGTTCGAGCATTGCATAAAATCCTAATTAATTAGGAATCATATGCTTTTTCATGATAGACAAAGAATTATGATATGGCCGAAATTAAAGTTTGACTATACATCACGTAACTTTGGTTAATTCATAAATGCGCCAAGTATTAACTCAGGCTTACTTTTATGAATGCGCCTAGAAACTCTTGACCATAAATACCATTAATTGATTAATGATCGCTGATAATCAATATACTATTTGTTAAGATATCCGTGCGAGCCATCAGAAATATACAAGATTAACAAAACGAACTCAAACAGGAAAAATACAAATAAGTAGGTAAGTAGGTACGTACAGTACGTATGTACTTACGTACCTACATACACATCAGGTTTCGAATTTTTGGTGCAGATATTAACTATAAATCCATTTCTCTTTCTTATCATGCTCACTTATGCAAATACATGCATGCTAACCGATGTCGTTTTCAATGAAAAGCATTTGCTCCTCACATCACAACTTGTAAAGAGTCTTAGTTGGTAATCGCTCGAATCAATGATGCCCATTTCTAGCGCGATTGGTCTCGGTGTTCGATCCCTTGCTTCGAATTCGGTTCACAGATGTAAACGATTGAATCAGTTTGGTAGTATCCTCACAAATCCATCCTTCCTTGTTAACTGCATAACAAAGACACCTCATCACGAAGATCATGCGAGGCTGCTCACTGTGTCTCCCATCGCTATCCCACAACAGAAGAAGGAGCATCTGGAGGTTGAACGCAAATTTGTGTTCGATGTTACCAAAGTTCCTGTGATGGAACGCAACAGTGGCCCCGTAAAATTCGATTCAGTCAAATTTATCTGCACAAAGTCTTTCACCGACATCTATTACGACATCGACGAGAGGGGCTACCCCCTAACTTCCCAAGACATTTGGCTTCGTCAGCGTGACCAAAAATGGGAATGTAAGACTCCAACAGATTTGGTGGCTTCAATGGATTCCTATCATGAGCTCGAAGACTTGAACGAGATTTCCGACTTCCTCCGACAAACACTCGGCGTGCAAACTTTGTCATCCCCAAAAGATTCTCAATCATTTGGATATTGGTTAAATCAAAATTTCTCTTTGACTCCATTCTGCACGATAAAGACAACGCGCCAACATTACCTTCTGGATGGCGAGTTTACGTTGGATTTGGACACCGCAGATTTTGGACATCATGTAGGAGAAATTGAATTGGTTGTACACTTGAAAAATGAAATCAAAAATGCTGAAATGAAGATCGCACGCTTGTTGAAGAAACACGATTGGTTCTTTGATACTAGCGGAACGGTTATGGGCAAATTGTCGGCTTATATAGGAAGGTTTAACCGGAAACAGTGGGAATGCATGGAAAGGTCTGGCATTTTGAAAAGGAAATTGTATCCCGAGAGTTTGGACGATGTGATCAAAAGGGAGAAAGAATAATTAAGCACAAGCCAATCACCTTCATGTAACCCTCCATGACCGAAAAGTACGAATGTATCACGTGGATGACATGAGATAGTGCATATTGAACTTACATAATCAATATGTAATGGGTGTAATCATGCCACAATGAGCTATCATGTAAATCAAAATAACCTGGACATTGCATAAATCTTGTTCCATTTTATGAGCAATACAAGTTATTCTAATTTTTGCTTCCAGTTTATCGCCGTATATCTAAGATCTATATTTGACTTCACGAATTCCTTTTTTCTTTGTCTAATATACTCATTTTGAATTTTGCCAAATTCTCGTTTCTTGATTAACTGTGAAAATTACCCTTCGAGGGGCTTATTATTACAGTGAACCCTCTCTAAATGCACACCCCTCGGGACCATAGGAAAATTTTTGAAAAATGTGCATTTATAGAGGGTGTGCATTTATGGAGGTAATTTTATTAAGAGTTCTATGTACTTGGGACCAAGCTTGACCGTGCATTTAGAGAGAGAAAATATAGTAAGTGCATTTATAGAGGGTGCATTTAGGGAGGTCTCTCTGTATTATCTTTTGCGCCTATTCCCGTGAGGCGAGAAATGTGATCGACAATCTATTTACAGTAATCGGTTTCAATGAGTTTATCAAGTTAGGGTGAGTCGCATGCCGAAGATGTCAATGGTAATTCGATGATCGCCGAAATATCCGGAACGATTTCTATTAAAGAGTGATATCGAATTGAATCTTGCCTCGCCGGATATTGAGTATCGACCAGAGTTGGTTAAACACTGTATGATAGAATTTGATAAATTATAATTGACCTTATGTTGCACATGTATATACACAGTATACCGTATATTACTAATTATTGCAATGTCGAAATTTTAAAAAAAGACAAACGGTAAAAGAAAGATACAGTATACCGAAAATTAATACGCCAACTTATAAATTTAGATTAATTAAAGCTTAAAGAATTATTGAGTTCATAAAACCCTACATTATTTCAATGACATCGAGGTGCATGTTCATATACTGTACGTACGCTGTGCATAGCGTTATATAAAATTAATCTACGGGGATGTCGGAATATAGATCTATTGATGTCACATGAATCTTTCTTACAAAATGAAATATATTATATGATTAGACATTTAGCTTGATAATAAGTAATAAACCATTTTTTCAACTTTACAATAATAACCCATTCGATATTTCTTTTTGTAATTGTATTGTGTGATAATAAAAAGTTTTTCTACTTTTCGGTTCAATTTTTACGTAAATAATAAAAATATTTAAAAAACATTAAAAGTATACAGTACGTGAAAATTAAAATATATAAAATTACTTGGGAATATAATTAAAAAAATTTAATATATAAAAGTATATGTGAATTAAATTTAGAAATTTAATTCAATTTAAATTTTACAGTGGTGACAGAAAAAAATGGCACTTTTTTTTTATTTATAAAAAATTATATTGTGAAAATTTTTTTATTAAATTAATATTAATATTAATTAAAAATAAATTTATTAGTATTTTAAAATAATAATATTTTTTTTAATATTAATAAAATTATATGTATATGATTTTATTTAAATTTATTATTTTTACATTTAATTTTTTTATCAAGTTTAAATATTAAAAAGTCTATATATTTAATATTTTATTTATTATTATTATTAATATTTTCTTTTTACTTCCAATTAGACTACAAGCTATTGTATTTATTAATCTTTTTAAACAAAATATATTAATATAATTTTGTATTATTACTAAATATTTTTATAAACTACAGTATACCTATCAATAAGTTTAATAAATTATATGTGATTCTTAAATCCTTAATAACAAGATTATTATATTGTCTATATAACACTAGTCAAAATTTGGTCATTCGGCATGTCGAATTATTGTCGAATTTTTAAATTTTTTATAATTAAATTTAAACTGAATTTATGTCATTTGGTGCCACTCGGCATAAAATCAAATATAAATATTTGTTAAATATTCATTAATAGTTCGACTATAACATTATAGAATTCGGCAATATAAATACAAATATTTGATAGATAACTTAGCCATAATTTAACATATTTTATGTTTGAATTTTCATATATATTAGCAATTAATTTAATAAAAATAATTAATAAAATTCAACAATTATTCGTAATTATAATTAATAAAAAGTTTATTTAAATATGATAATAAAATAATATAATTTGAATATAGCAAAAAAATCACTCATATAAACTAAGTTATTTGTTATCTTCTGTTTCTTCTTCCTCTTCTTCCTCTTCTACCACTTTTTTTTCTTTTCCTTTAATTGATCTTATTCTGGATAACCTTCTTAGTATCTTTTTTTTTTCCTTTTTTTCAGTTGTTTTTTTCTTACCGATTTTTATACCTTCTATTGTTTTCGCCTTAGCAACTGCCTCCTTGACCTCACCCATTATTGTGCTTTCTCCGGTTTGATACTCCTCCGAATATATTGATGATTCTTTGGCAATCTTTCATTTTTTATATTTTTCTACTGATTCTTCAGCTTCTTCTTCTGAATAGTAAACCTAATTCGACAAATCTTTAGGTGGTGTTACATTATAATAAATTGCAATCTCATAAGTTCTCTTACGAATTATTTTTGTATATTGAATTTCTGTTGAACGTTTGTTCAAAACTTTTCTTAGCAATTTAGTTAACTATATAATAAATAAATATTCGGTATATAAATATTCGGCAAACAAATATTTGACTTTAATAATATTTAAATACCTCATGAGAACACCAACTATAATCATATATGACTACTTTTCTTTTATCGCTTTCTAAATCAGTTTCACTTTCTTCAGGTAAATGAACCTTCGTTTCTTTAAGGACATCAAGTAATTTATTCCGATATTTTGCAATTTCTTTAGACTTGTTTTTAATTAATGATCTCGCAACTATAATTCTTCAGCCCCTTTTCTTTATTATTCGTTAAAATTAATATATGTAAAATAATATATATATATAAGCCTAATGTTTTTACTTCACTTAACCGACAGTTTGCATGCAAATGCCTATTGTCTGTATCTAATTTTCCTGATTTTGATTTTAGATATCTTCCTCTTTGATGACGATGTAAGGCACCCAACCAATTATATAGTTGTCTTCGTGTGGGATTAAAGTTTGGAGCCATTAAACTCAATAATTCGGGTATTAGCTTGGCTAATATTTTTTTATTTTTAGAACTTGAAAAAACTTTGTCCATCCTTATTTTATAATATTCAGGAAGTGTCTTTACAATACATTTTATTTTATCTCTTGTTTTTTTTTGATCTGTCTCATAAACTACTTTGCTCTTACCCTTTGTATCACTAACTGGTCGAAACCTTTGTTCTTGTGAAGTTAACCGATGTTCAGTATTTTTATAATCTTCGACATTTTCATAATCTTTGGCATCAATATTTTCAAAATATTTGACATCAAAATCTTCGACACTATTATTACCGGAATTTTTATCCGGGACTTCTATTGGTATTGCAGATATTCCTGTCCCAGGTGATATAGATCCCTCAGATAATCCAAATCTCGGAGATATCACAACAATCGAATTCTTTTCTAAATATGTTATTTTTTCCTTGAATTTTTTCTCTTGGGTGGCAAATACTTCATTTATATATTCTAAAGATTTTATTATATTTTCTAGAGCATTGATCTTGTTTTCTAATTCGGCATTCATTTTTTTTAGCTCTTCAACTTCTGTTTGCAAATTTTTAATTTGTTTATCTAAATAAATCGGTTGATTAGTAAAGATAAGATTTATTTAATAATTCGGCATTAATTTAATTTTATATCTTTTTCGACTATTATATCAACTTCCCATGCTAGTGGAAAATGAATAGATAATGATTTAATCAATTGCCATGCTGAAGTGGAGGTTAATGGAGATTCTATACCAGGTAATGTTGAACGAGGCCTTACTTCCTGAATTTCTAACGAAACCTGGAAAGATACTGAAGGTTGCCATGAATGTAAAGATTGTTGTAACGGTGAAGATTGCCGTGATGGCGAAGGTTGTCGTGATCGCGAAGGTTGCTGTGATCGCGAAGATTGCCATGATTGCGAAGATTGTTATGATCACGAAGGTTGCTGTGATCATGAAGGTTGCCATAATGGTGAAGGTTGCTGTGATCGCGAAGGTTGTCGTGATTGCGAAGGTTGCTGTGATCGTGAAAATTGCTGTGATCGTGAAGATTGCTGTGATCGTGAAGGTTGCCATAATTGTGAAGGTTGCGAAGATGGCGAAGATTGTAAAGATAGTGTAGGTTGCGAAGATTGCAAAGGTTGAGAAGATTGCAAAGATAATGAAGATTGCGAAAGTTGAGAAGACTGTAAAGATAACGAAAGCTGTTCTTTATAGGATTTTTTTTCTGAAGTTTTTCTTGCTTGTTTGGACATTTTTGATTTTAGATTTCGTTAAAAAAAGTGATATTTATATAAAATTATTCGTATTATAAAATTATATTTTTGATATATTATACGATTTTTTGACTATTTGCTTTTCATATAATATAATACACTCGTAT